ATATGATATCATTGCCTCTAGGGCATATTTACAACATAGTACAAGTAAAATAGTCTAATGAAAAGATAGAATAGCTTCGAAACAACAAACTGGATATGAATCTAAGCATAAGGCTAAACGACATAACATGAAAGTTGGGAGTGAATTATTCACATGATGCAAATTACACAGAGTAAAGTATAGTGAAGAAAAGTGGAACCAGTTACGTCAATGACGCCACATGTTTGTTGCTCGAGTTCAAGTTGGTGGCACAACTCTACGTCTAGGTGGAGGGACTAAGCCAAAGCTTGGAAGACACGAAACACTTCACCATATTCTCCTTTAGCTAGGTTCCACACGAAACCCAGCAAACCCTCAGGGTAAATCTTGTAGTGATCTTTGATAAGTCCACAAGTTGTATGCTCTAAATTGACACCTAACCATCTCAAAGATACACAATCTTCAAGAGTAACACATCTTCAATGAACTATGACCAATTTTCTTCAGTGTTGCTCAATCACTTTGGTATTAGGTTTTCTGTTTTTTCCTCACTTAGGATTCACTCAAATTCGCCAGGAGGATTGGTTTCTCAGACAACACTTGTCTCAAATCATACGAAGCAACCAACCGCTTTGGTTGAGGTAGGGGCTATTTATACCTAGAGTCGCAACCTGAGGGGGAATATCACCGTTGTTTGGGATGCACCCACCAATGTGTTATCACCAACCGTCCTAATGGTCGAAAATTTGAACTCTCAAATTCTTATGCGTAGGACAACCTTACAGCTAGGGTTACATTACTCAGGTCAGGCTATTAGGCTTGCACCGCTAGCCTGGCTTAGACACGGCCATATGCTCTTGGACTCTAGCTGCCATGCCTTCTCAGATAGCATGGTGATTGGCGAGCGCCTCACCATGAGTTGCTAGCATGACCCAATAAGAGAGGATCTTCCTTGTATTTCTTGGACCTGTGGAGCCTGTGTGTTGTATCCTCGTCAGGAGGCAAGTGCCAAACGGAATGAGACCAATGAGGAAATGAAGGAGAAGAGGTTTAGAGCATTCAGGGAGACGCAACAAATGAAGGTTAGCCTCGAGGAGAAGAAGCTTGCTACCAAGCAAATGTGCGAGAAGTTCAAGGTCTTATACGCGAAGGCCAACGTCTTAGATCCCGAGGTGGCGAGGTATGTTCACCAAATGCGAGCAGCATCTTTCCAGGTTATGCATAAAAAAGATGGGCAATGATTCATTCGGTTTGTTATTTGTTTGATGGATCGGATTATGAAACTCGTCCAACATGCAATGCTTTTTGCTTTTCATTATTTCGTTTACAAGTGTTGTATGTGTCATTGAATTGCTATTGAATGTTGCTCAACAAAGAACTTGACTTAGTGAATAAAAGGAGAAGGGGAGAAGGAGGGACGAACAAGTAGGGGGGGGGGGATTTGAGTGCTAGCCTTGGATGGCCCTCGCCTGCCTGACTGTCCCTAGACACACGTGAACATTCGAGGGTGTCCGTTTGAGGTATAGCACTTCGCAGATACCGTTTGATGGCTAGATTCTTTATGGTGAAACTTACCCACCCAGATTCAAGTGCTAGAGACTTAGCATGAGTGCTCGCATATTTCTTGGATTTATTTCAAACTTTTTGGTGTTGTTCTTTATGTTGTTTGATGTGTCCGCCGACTGGAGTGTGTGTGCCAACTTCGTCAATCTCAAGATATATCGATGTGGTCTCTCCAAGGTGCTCACGGGGGTCTCAAGCCATATCATTTGGCAATGTGAATGTGTGTGTGTGTGCGCGCGCGCGTGAACTCCGACGAGGTCCGGACTATCTAAAATGTAGTTGGAACATGTTTATCTTAAGTTTTTAAATTTGCAAGACGATTTTGCGGTATCTGTTCTGCGCCGGGCAAAAAGTGCCCGCAAAATCGATTTAGGGAGAACCGTAAATCAATTTTGTGGGCCGAGATTATAGCGGCTCACCTAGAGACGCTCTAAGACACAAGCCATTGAGGCGGAAATGCAATTTGGCTCCCGGGATCATGTGCTGCCGAAATGATTTTTGAAATTTCAAAATAATCCCAACAAATTTCTTATGTATTCATAGTGACATCTGAATAGTACCTGCAAATTTTATGCAAAAAGGTTAAACATTTTGGATTGTACAAAAAGAAACAAATTGAACAACAAGCCTTACCCCAAATTTGTTTTTTCACCGACGAAATACTATTGCTCCGTCTCACATGAAAATTGTCAAGCATGCTTGTGACACTAACACGAACACCCACATAAATATTTAGAAAATTTTGAAAACATTTTACCACTTTTTTTAAGTTAATGTTCATGCGGGAGCACGTGGTCCCGGGAGCCAAAGCACTAAAAAACACGCACAAAAGTGTGTTTTAGTGCTTGAGCTCCACGGAGCTAATTTTTAATGAAAATTTTGAAACAAATGTTTCAAATTTCAATTTTGTTTGAAAATAATACACATTACCGTATGGATGTATACTGGATGTGTGCAAATTTTCATTAAAAATACATTGTTTAACAATGATTCACTAGAAAATACATTGACACGTAATGTGCAGAAAAATGACAAAAGGACGAGTTTGAAACCAGTGAAATGTGTGCACGGTTCACTGTATAAAATCAACGAATCTCACTTTTTCTGCGGCTTGCTAATCAATGTGTTTCTCTTGAAAATTTACGCACCTGTACCAGTATACATGCATATGTCAATGTGGAATTGTTTTTTTGACTTTTTTAGAACATTGAAATGCTAATTTTGAATGTTTCAAAGAAAGGGCTGCAAAGAGCCGGAGCACTAAAACGCCGCAATCGCTTTCAACACCTCTTTTCCTTATTTATTTTTGTTCCTCGAGAAAGACATGAAGCTTTTGGAACCTAGAACCGCAGAGTCTGCTGTGAAGCTATCTCCGACCTAGACTCTATACGCCTACAGCCACATGCCACAGCCTTAGGCTGGTCATAATGAGGAGTAACTTATACTAGTGTCATACATATGACACTAGTATAAGTTACTATTTTTATAGTGCAAAGTAACATAGCATTAGTGTTATAGAGGACTTTATTTATTAGCTTGTAGACTCATCTTGTCTTGGAAACCACTATGTTATGGCATCTCCAATAGTTTGTTTGTTAGCTTGTTGGTAAATATGCCATGTCATCAACCAACAACTTAACATACAACAACTTCAATGGGTTGTATCTAGTTTGCCCAATAAGATGCGAGACAATAAATAAGGTGCTCTCTCATTCTACATTGGAGCTTGTGCAAGGGATGTTGGTTCATATACATACAACCTTCTTATCTTTCCTCATTTATTGTATGACACATCATCAAAAATTCTATGTGGCAAAGTCTACCAACAATTATCTTACAACCATTGAAGATGCCCTTACAGTAACATATTATGTTACTACTTCTCATTAACTACATGCCACATAAGCAAAAAAATAATTTAAAATGCGCTATATTATTAGCTAAGTTACTCCCACTATGACTAGACTTACTGCATGCAGCTTCGGCACACGTCACGTCTAAGAAGCGTAGGCTGAACATGAACACACAGCTAATCGTGCCCTAGACCATCGCATCTCAGGCGTGCCATTTGGACAGCACGAGCAGTCGAGCACGACCTTCCGGCATCACTGTCGCTTTCGCATGCCACCGGACACAGTTGAATTTTCCGAATGACTTTTCATATTCCCACGCCTTTTTCTGATCAAACTTGCCGACTCCACTACGACACAAACACCAATCGTATTCGTGCGTGCTTCTGGCCAGACGGTGACACCACACATAGCATCCTCCCGTTTTCTTCGTTGATCGTCAATCAAAAACACAAAATGCAGACACGCGCGCCAACTCCCATTTCCTTTTCGTGAACAGTGGCGTTTCAGGCTCGCAGTCAAGTCTCCCCTCCCCCTCCGGAGGCCGGAGCCGTTCCAGACCCCCCACTCTACGACTCGTCTACACCACGCACCTAGCGGGAGGAGGGACGGGGTAGACCGTAGACCAGCGCGGTCCACAACTTTGACTGGGAAAATACGGGATCCGACCTGGCCCGTGGGCCCCACGTCCGTAGCAACGGGGAGGAGCGGATCGCGTGCGCCCGTCCCGAGCAGCCAACGGCGTCCAGCCGCTGTCACCCCGCCGCGTGACGGCCTCCTACTGGCCCATTCCGGCGGGACCCCCGAACGGCGCCGCACCGGATCCCCCGTTCACGAGGGGGAATTTTGACTGCGCCCTTCAGCTGGCGTCCTGCCACTGCCAGCGCCGGGCCCCCCGGTGGCCACGAGCCGGGCGCGGTGGTGCGTGGACGCGCCGTACTGCTCCGACCCGTTTCGGCACAGTACTTACTCCGCCCTGCTCTCCCGCCGCAAAACCCGTGTTACGTGGCCGCCTCGGTTACTCGTGGTCGAAGCCGCCGTGGGTTCAGTTATTTATTCGTGAATGATTGATTGATGTCTGGTGACGGGCGTACGAGGACAGCGTCCAGGGAAGCCCCGCGCTCCCGCATCACGACGGCGTCACCGCCCATCCCTCCTGCTACGCTTCCGCCTCCCACTAACCCCCACCACCCTCGGCGGAAAACGACAGCCACCGTGGAGAGACCGGCTCTCCTCCACCGACCTGCGGGCCCCACGCGCGCCTTCCCCCACCTGACAGCGACGCGAGGTGGGCGGCGCGCGGTGACCCGGCCTTCCGCGAAACAGGCCTCCCTTGCCGATGGAACATTTTAGGTTGGGGCACGGGAAGAGACCAGCAGAAATTTAAAAATCATCTCGAGCTGGAAAAATACTCCACACCGGTAAAAAAATCGCTTCCTCCGTGCCCTGCTCCGTCAGAGAAGAGGGGAGGGTCGAGGCAGCGCTGTCAACGCGGCGGCGGGGGGTAATCGGGGGCCGTCGTAGACAGCTCACAAGGGCGCCGGAGACCGGGAGCGCGCGTATGCTGCGGCTTTGAGACGGGCCCACCTGGCAGCCGCCTGCGCTCGGATGGCTGCGTCGCCGGAGATGCTGCGGAGGTGTTGGTGGGCGGCGGCGGCGGTCTTGTCGGCGGTGCTGACCGTGAGCCGGGTCTCCGCCAACACAGAGGGTGAGCCACTCCATCAATTTTCTCAATTTTAAGTTATTTGGCTTCCGCCCTCCTTTCGGGTTCACGAATTGCCTGGTCCACCGGTGCGCTCGCGAGTATATATTTCGGGGGAAGGGAGTAAGCATCTCGCATGTGTTGCTGTACTTCTTAGCAAGTTTCCGCCCATGGGCGTGGACTGAATTTTTTTTTCCTGTTAGTGGAAGGTCTTACAATCTCCCCTTTCCAGCTTCCATGGATTATGTAGGTTCTGTATCACCATGTCTCTCATATTGTGCTACGAATTTGTTCTTTCTTCGGGTTTTTTTCGCTATGGCTGATAACTTTGGTCTACTGGCAAATTCACAGAGATAGAATTAGCTTCCACTGTGCTTGTCCCAACTACGGTTTAAAATAAAAAAAAAACATTTTCCCCGTCTGAAGTAACGCCAAGTCTGTAATTTGGCTTATGCTTAAACTGGTTTTCTGGAGGTGCATGTTATGGCTCCACAAGTTTCATTATTCACGACAGTATTTGTTTGTAGAGACCACCACCGCACATATTTCTTTCTGTTTGAGCCTTTCGTGAAGATAATCTTGCCTTTTTTCACTTAGATTTCCATATCTTTGGGCTTTAACTGAACTAGTAGAATTTTATTGTCTGAAGGGACAACTAGTATTCTTCTTGTGTAAGAATCAAAATAGTGATATCGTTCTGTCTATGGTCATAATAATTTGCTTTGCATTTATTTTAGTAATGCCTGGCTCCTACACGAACTGTACATAACAAAGATGTGCCTGTTGTATGAATGTGTAGGTACTATTTGGGTCAATGAACAAAAATGTATTTGCTTTACCTTTGGTTTTTACCATATATTGGCCCATATACTAGAGTAACTGCTTGGTTCAAGGAATTGAAGCTAAATATGAGGACCACATTTATTCTTGCAAAAAATGGGGCAGTGCGCCTCTTTGGTTGCACAGGCCTAAAGAGATATTCTCTTCCATAATCTAAAAAAATCATGTTAAACACACATCAATTATCTGTTTTTATATCGGTATTCACACATTTATCTGTACTTTAGATATTGATTAGTAGGCTATGCTAAATTTTGCATAGCTTTTTGGACAAAATGGGAGCTGTATATTTGCGTGCATAATGTGGTGGCGAAGTAACTGTTAAATTTCTGCACATAAGATTATTGGGAGAATATCTGTATATTGCCTTAAATGACTAGGCATGTATAATATTGCTCATACCTGATCATATTGTACTTCCATTGGTAGGTGATGCTCTGTACAGTCTGCGTCAAAGCCTTAAAGATGCTAACAATGTGCTGCAGAGTTGGGATCCCACTCTGGTTAATCCATGCACATGGTTCCATGTTACTTGTAACACTGACAACAGTGTAATCAGAGTGTAAGTTTTTGATAGATTTTTCTCCAATTTACACTTGCTAAAAGTTATAAAGGTGATCTTTTGTGTGTCGACTGTAACCTTTTACTGTTGCAGTGATCTTGGAAACGCACAACTGTCAGGTGCATTGGTGTCCCAACTTGGACAGTTGAAAAATCTACAATATTTGTAAGTTTAACGTTCTAGCCTTCCGAGAATTATTTTTATAGTTATATGGCGCAGTAGTTGCATCTGTGTATGTTTTCGTAAGCTTGGTGCCTGAACTTCAGTAATATACATACATGACTTGGGTTTGCAGAACATAACTGTGCTGAGTACTGATGACAAAATGTGTAATTATGTTCAATAAAATCTGTGCTGCAATAAAATGAGTACATGACTTGGGTTTGCAGAACATAGCTGTGCTGAGTACTGATGACAAAATGAGTAATCTACATGCCTGAACTGCTTTGGTTTTCAATAAATCTGTAATCATGTTCCAATTGTACTATTCTAGGATGTTTAGAGTGGCTACTACATGTGCTTTGTTCTCCTACAGATTTTGGAAATGATGTTTGTGAGATTTCTGCTGAGATCCTACATTGTGTAGTTTTATAGTTTTCTCATTATTTCTGTGCCTTCTATTCTTTGTCAATCATTTATGGTACCTTTTACAAGTTTGGCGCTCTCATTATGTATGCCTTGAAACTTTTAGTGAAATTTCACTGTTACATGACAGGGAGCTGTACAGCAACAATATAAGTGGGACAATACCTTTGGAACTCGGGAACTTGACAAACCTGGTCAGTTTGGATCTGTACCTGAACAAATTCACTGGCGGTATTCCAGACACATTGGGGAAACTCTTAAAGTTGCGATTCCTGTAAGAATATACCTTTTTACTCCTTTCGAAACGAATATAATTGTCAATTCCACGTGTCCTGTTTTTCTGGTTCAGACCACCACATTTCTTTGACATGTGCCCCACCCTTACCAAAAAAAAACCCATAATAGGAACGCCGCACAGAACCACAATAAAGATGCATCATGGCACATGCATGCATTTGTACGAGCTTTTCTTCCCAGAAGTCCTCTTAGATTTGCATGTCTTATTGAATGATAAGGTGTTCTTGCAGTTTTCTTCTTTCATATGACCATATCCAGTTAGGTATCTAGTTACAACGGAGGGTAAATCTATTGTGTAGTTCTTTTCTTGTGGCTTTAATGCTTTTCTGTAGGCCTGCTGGTTCGAATGATTATTTTCTAGCCTTGCTTGTTGGAATGATTCTAATATACTTCTTTCTGGGAATGTCTACTTGGAATAACAGCCGTCTTAACAACAACAGTCTTTCTGGTCAAATTCCACAATCCTTGACCAATATTAGCACCCTCCAAGTTCTGTAAGTTATCTGTTCTACTCTTCATAGTTCATATTCTATATGTATCTTAAGGATATGCTGTGGGCATGGTAACAAACATGCAAACCAGTACATTATAACAAATGCATCTGACAATCTCACAGGGATCTATCAAACAACAATCTCTCCGGAGCGGTTCCTTCAACTGGCTCGTTTTCACTCTTTACCCCTATAAGGTATTCTTTCTGGTTGAAATTCGGGTGCTTACTGCATCTTGTGAGGATGATGACTTTTAACTTATTGTCACAGTTTTGGTAATAATCCAAATCTTTGTGGCCCGGGTACTACGAAACCATGTCCTGGGGCACCTCCTTTTTCTCCACCGCCTCCATTCAATCCTCCAACACCACCCGCGGCACAAGGTGAATTTTGTTAAATTCTGTGGCACTGCGGCGATTCTTCTTGAAATGGACAATCCTTGAAACTCTCAAATTATCTGTATGATCGTATTTAACATGTGCTTGCTGGAATAATTCAATTCCGCTAGGTGACCCTAAAACCGGAGCAATTGCTGGAGGTGTTGCTGCGGGTGCTGCATTGATATTTGCTGTTCCTGCAATTGGATTTGCACTGTGGCGGCGACGTAAACCTGAAGAGCATTTCTTTGATGTCCCTGGTCTGCATTGATATATATAGCATGCTTTGATGTCCCAGGTCATGTTATTCAATTCGTTTATCTGTACTTTTGTTTATCTTCAGCTGAGGAGGATCCAGAAGTGCACCTTGGCCAGCTGAAGAGGTTCTCACTAAGGGAGCTTCAAGTTGCTAGCGATAACTTCAGCAATAAGAACATTCTAGGAAGAGGTGGCTTTGGAAAGGTGTACAAGGGGAGACTGACAGATGGTACATTGGTAGCAGTTAAAAGATTAAAAGAAGAACGTACTCCTGGTGGCGAACTCCAATTCCAAACAGAAGTTGAAATGATTAGTATGGCAGTGCATAGGAACCTGCTTCGTCTCCGTGGATTCTGCATGACACCTACAGAACGGCTACTAGTCTATCCATACATGGCTAATGGTAGCGTTGCATCACGTTTGCGAGGTACCTACTCTGTTGTACTAATTCTTCTAGACTCTTTTTACATTTCTGTACATTTTTTACCAACTGTAGGCCTAGTTGTCTCTTTCTCTGATACTGTCAAAGCTTGACTTTAAACTGTTTAGTTGCTTCATCTGCATCACTTTGACACATGGGACATGATGAGATCAATGCAGCATTGCACTTAGCATGTCTCTAGTATTTAGTCTATAAAAAAGAAGAAACCAGAAAACGACTCTGAGCTTCATTATGTACTCACTTTTGCAAATCCAACTGACATGGGCTGCTACCTGGACTGCACTAAATTCTGATCCTAAAATTTAATCGATCAATAAGTTCGTGTCACCCATATGTACAACCTGTGAATGTGATCAGAAGCAATATAACTTTTACGGCAATTGAAATAACTAAACTTTACTTTATGTACTACTTATAGAGCATTTTTAGTTAATTCAGTTATGATATATGGTACCTCCGGTACATGATTAGCGATTTCAGTTTTGACTTATGGTACTTGATTTTTAGAGCGAGGGCCAAATGAGCCGGCTCTTGAATGGGAAAAGAGAACTCGGATTGCACTGGGATCTGCCAGAGGACTGTCTTACTTGCATGATCACTGCGACCCCAAGATCATTCATCGTGATGTCAAAGCCGCAAACATTCTCTTGGATGAAGACTTTGAGGCGGTTGTGGGTGACTTTGGACTGGCCAAGCTTATGGACTACAAGGACACTCATGTAACCACAGCTGTCCGTGGAACGATCGGGCATATTGCTCCCGAGTACCTATCCACCGGAAAGTCCTCTGAGAAGACGGATGTTTTCGGTTATGGGATCATGCTTCTGGAGCTTATCACTGGACAGAGGGCATTCGACCTCGCGCGTCTTGCAAACGACGACGATGTCATGCTGCTTGACTGGGTAAGTTCTCCTCTATCATTGGTTCATTGAACATACATATCGTGAGCAGCGATGCAACTCTAGTTTTGTTTGCATCGTGCATCTTAGCTGTCTGCCAGTTCTGGTTTGAGGGCTAGAGCAAACCGTTTCTCATTATTGGTTCAGTGTCCTATACACTAGCATGCATGATGAGTGAGTAAACAAACTGACTGACACCTGGCCTCCCTCCCATGTGTGATGTGTCATCCATGATTGGGAGGAGGGTGGCGTGAGAAGTGTAAAGTAATGGCGAGAATTGTGCGTGGCGTGGGTGCAGGTGAAAGGGCTGCTGAAAGAGAAGAAGGTGGAGATGCTGGTGGACCCGGACCTGCAGAGCGTGTACGTGGAGCACGAGGTGGAGGCGCTGATCCAGGTGGCGCTGCTGTGCACGCAGGGGTCGCCGATGGACCGGCCCAAGATGTCGGAGGTGGTGAGGATGCTGGAGGGCGACGGGCTGGCGGAGCGCTGGGAGGAGTGGCAGAAGGTGGAGGTGGTCCGGCAGGAGGCGGAGCTGGCCCCGCGAAACAACGACTGGATCGTCGACTCCACCTACAACCTCCGGGCAGTGGAGCTGTCCGGCCCGAGGTAACAGGAAAAAAGAAGAAAACAAAATCGTCTCCTCATCGACGAGCTCCGGCTAGTGGCGCCTCGTTTCAGAATTTCTAGCTCTCTTTTGTACATGATGACCGACAGATAGCTGGCCCCTTTAATTAGTGTCAAATTTGGAAGGGGAAATGTCAGCAGCAGTTCCCAGTTGTAGGCTGCTCTTGACTGCAACTCATTGTTGTGGTGGCTAATGCTACTCCTGCTGTATTGTACTTGTACGTGCACATATACTTCGTCCGTGCTAAGGCTAAATCCTTAATATTAGTAGTAGCAAAAAGGCCCGTGCGTTGCAACGGGAGAAAAAAATACCACATACTCTTAATTTACAAAAAATGATCTATAATCTGAGAATTTGTAGCTACGGTCCAAACAAAGATGTTCTTAGCCTACAAAAGCGTAGTTCAAGATTTCACATATATTTTATTTTAACACGGCTTACATATAGATTTAATCCGTACAAAAAAACGGACAAGCGATCATGCATTTATTTAGATCATGTGTGAAATTGGGTATTGTTACGGGCCAGTAAAGTAAAACGATAAAAATAGACGATGACACATTAGCACACTATAGAGACATGTGTGTATCAAGGGCGGTTTTCAGTTTAAGCATCACTAACTTAGGGTAACTCTTGAACACTTCTTTTCACATGCATATTTCATAAATACATTAAAAGTTGTTAAAAGATACAGGATTTTTTAAGCATAAAGATATATTTTTTGTCTGGAAAAAAACATTTTTGTTTCCTAAATGCTTGTTAGTGCAGCTGCGCTATTGGTTGCAGCAAGCGCACCCGTTCAAGCCGTTCGATCCCAGTATTCTTAATGTGATTGCATTGCTACTAGTCTCATAAGTTTCAAAAGACGAGGTTTGACAAAAGAGAAAAAACACCTGGTCGGCTGGTCCCCTCGCATCTTCACGTTCCCCTTCCGCCCTGTTATTCAGCAAGACCCCGCACGCATGCATTTATTTGGAGCTTCAAAATTTTCTAAAATCCGTAACTTTTGACTCGAGTGTCGAATTTCAAATCCGTTTTCACTATTGTGTTTGTCGCTATGAGTTCTTCAAAACTAGATCCTATATGGGTATGTTTCGACAAACTTTTTTTAAAGCAACTTTGCATGCTGCGGAGGCAACTTTAGTGTTATAAGAAAGCAACTTCTTATTAGTATGCGTAGTGTGATCACCTATCAATAAAAAAACCCTTTGAAGTTTGTCAAACACGCATCATATTTGCCGCACCATCTTGTTTTGCTTTGGTTGTTAGGTGTCCTAGTTAGATAGACTAAGTTGTTAAAGTTTATTTTTATTTAAGATCTTTCTTTCTCTTCAAGATGTAATCTCCAACAACTTGTATGCGCTGTACAGTGAGGTGCGCCCCTGTTATATAAACACGTACACGTCGCCCACATCCGGCAAGACGTTTCCGCCATCGCACATGGTAATCAGAGCCTTCCTCTTTCAATCTAGTCTCCCGATTGCATCTAGTGCATAGCCATGTCTTCATCCTCCGGCGCCTCCCCTAGCCTCATTGGCCAGGTCACCGAGAAGCTCAACCGCACGAATTACGTGCTATGGCGCACGCAGGTCACACCCCACCCGCGGGGCGCCGGTGTCTTCGGCTACATCGACGGCACCACGCCGGAGCCGGCCAGACTCCACGTCACGAAAGACAAAGACAGCAAGGAGACTTGTGAGCCCAACCCTCTCCACCAACTTTGGGTCCGAGAGGATCAATAGGTGCTTGGCTATTTGCTTAGTACCCTCTCCAAGGAGGTGCTGGTCGCGGTCACCGCGCTCACCACGGCGCGCGAACTCTAGGTGGCGCTGGTGGGCATGTTCTCGTCCCAGTCACTCAGCCGCGTCAACAACATCAGGACTGCGCTCATCAACGCGCAGAAGGGCAACCAGTCGGTCGCCTCCTACTTCGCCTCCCTCCGCGGCCTCACCGCCGTCGGCAAGCCGATCCAGGACGACGAACTAATCTCGTACATCCTCCACGGCCTCGACGTCGACTACCAGCCGCTCGCCTCCGCCCTCGACGCCCGCGTCACGCCCGTCACCATCGACGAGCTCTACACCATGTTGAGTAACTTTGATCGGCGCATGGCCCAGTTCCACGGCTCCTCCGGCGGCTTCAAGTCTTCTGCCAACGCCGCATCTCGCGGCCGTGGTGGCGGCCCTCGCTCGCGTGGATCTCCCCGCAACAAGGGGCGGTCAGGAAGCAACAACAACGGTGGCGGCGGCTCCAGCAACTCTCGCAACGGGCGCCCCACCAACTCCAAGCCTCGTCATGGCGGAGGCTCCAGCAGGTCTCACCCAGATGCACCACGCTGCCAGATATGTGGCAAGCTTGGGCACACGACCAAAGACTGTTGGTATCGCTATGATGAAGATGATGACTCCTCCCAAGACGAGGACAAGGTTGCTGCAGCTGCGGACGGCTCCTACGGCATTGACACAAACTGGTACGTCGACAGCGGGGCGACCAATCACATCACCAACGAGCTCGAGAAGGTCACCATGAAGGAGAAATATCGTGGCAAAGACCAAATATACACTGCCAACGGTGAAGGTATGAGGATCCGTCATGTTGGTCATTCACTTTTTAGTACCCCTCGTCGTAAAATTCATCTAAAGAAAATCTTGCTAGTTCCTAGTGCCGATAATAATCTTATCTCTGTGCATAGAATTGCCATTGACAACCATGTCTTTCTTGAGTTTCATCCTTATTTTTTCTTGATCAAGGATCAGGCAACGAAGACAATTCTCTATCGAGGTAGATGCGTTCGAGGACTCTACCCGTTGATCCCGGAGCGTAGAAGATCCAATAAACAAGCCTATGGTGTTGCCAGACTCTCGTCAACATGGTGGCACGATCAACTAGGACGTGTTGCTTTCTCTTTAGTTGAAAAATTGCTTAGGAAAAATAAGCTCCCATATGTTGGTGAGCATGATCTTGAAACTATTTGTGATTCTTGTCAACGAGCAAAAAGTCATCAATTGGCTTATCCTCTATCTACTAGTGTCTCTACCAAACCATTGCAATTAATCTTCTCTGATGTTTGGGGCCTTGCCCCCAGTTCTGTTGGTAGACATACTTATTATGTGAGCTTCATAGATGACTACAGCAAATTATCCTGGATCTATCTTCTCAAAATAAGATCAGATGTCTTTCAAGTTTTTCAAAACTTTCAAGCTCTCGTTGAACGAAAATTTGATAGTAAGATCATTGCAGTTCAGTCTGATTGGGGAGGGGAATACGAGAAATTAAACTATTTCTTCCAAATCCTTGGCATATCACATCATGTGTCATGCCCCCACACTCACTAACAAAATGGCTCTGCCGAATGTAAGCACAGACATATAGTTGAGGTTGGGTTAGCCCTCGTAGCTGGTGCATCAATGCCTCTCAAGTTCTAGGATGAGGCTTTCCTCACAGCTGTTCATATCATAAACATGCTCCCTAGTCGAGTCATTAACAATGAAACTCCACTAGAACGCCTCCTTCACATTAAACCCGACTACAGATCTCTTCGTGTCTTCGGGTGTGCCTGTTGGCCCAATCTTCACCCATACAACAAACGCAAGCTCATGTTTCGCTCAAAACAATGTGTTTTTCTAGGCTATACAAACCAACATAAAGGTGTCAAGTGCCTCGATGTTGCCACTGGCCGTGTCTATATTTCACGCGATGTTGTCTTTGATGAAACCAAGTTTCCTTTTGTTGATCTTCATCCTAATGCTGGTGCTCTTCTTCGCCAAGAGATTCTTCTTTTGCCTCCTCATCTCTTCGGTGTTGATCAAGGGGAAATGATTGTGATGATGATCAACTATTGACTAACCCTCTTATTGATGATATGCATGAGCCTTGCGGTGTTACACGTGAAAACAACAAAGAAAACGATGAAAGCACAGAAGAAAATGGTGAAAAAACCCTCAGCCGGAGCCATATTTCATGTGCTCGGAATCTGGAGACAAATCCTCCTCGGGATCTGTTTGCCTCCAGGGGATCAGATCCTCCTCAGGATCGGCGGCAGTAGACGCGCCAGGGGTGTAGTCTGCATGCGCACCCGCCTTGGTCCAGGCACGAGCCCCGTTGTCACCCACGGGCTGCAGAACGGCACCGCCTCCGCGCCAATCGCCATCTGCCACATGTCATCGCACAGTTGGCGTGGGCGGCGCACGCTTCTCCAGCCAGCCTGTATGTTACAAGCGGTGCCCCCCCCGACTCGCCCGGCCAACGTGGGGCCCGAAGCTGGCGCGGGATCCAGCGTCGATGCGCGCGCGCCCTGATACGTCTCCAATGTATCTATAATTCTTGATTGTTCCATGCTATTATATTATCTGTTTTGGATGTTAATGGGCTTTATTTTACACTTTTATATTATTTTTGAGACTAACCTATTAACCGGAGGCCCAGCCCAAATTGATGTTTTTTTGCCTATTTTCAGTGTTTCGCAGAAAAGGAATATCAAACGGAGTCCAAACGGAATGAAACCTTCGGGAACGTGATTTTTGGAACAAACGTGATCCAAAGGACTTGGAGTGGACGTCAAGCAATCAACGAGGCGACCACGAGGCAGGGGGGTGCGCCTACCCCCCTGGGCGCGCCCTCCCCCCTCGTGGCTCAACCGACCTACTTCTTCCTCCTATATATGTTCACATACCCCAAAAACATCCAGGAGCACCACGAAACCCTATTTCCACCGCCACAACCTTATGTACCCAAGAGATCCCATCTCGGGGCCTTTTCCGGAGCTCCGTCGGAGGGGGCATTGATCACGGAGGGCCTCTACATCAACTCCATGGCCCCTCCGATGATGTGTGAATAGTTTACCTCAGACCTTCGGGTCCATAGCTAGTAGCTAGATGGGCTTCTTCTCTCTCTTTGAATCTCAATATAAAGTTCTCCTCGATTCTCTTAGAGATCTATTCGATGTAATCTTCTTTTGCGGTGTGTTTGTCGAGATCCGATGAATT